TAGTTGCGGTAAAATCCTCAGCTTGGTAAATAACAGTACAGTTAATGATAAAATTAATATAATCAAATTAATTAATCACGGACCTCCTAACATGTGCACCTACTATTAGGACAGCAGAGCCTGACTGTTGCTCCCCGGGGTTCACGACTCTCAACAGGGGTGTTGCATCTAATGAACGTACGATAAATTGAGGTTTTTCTTACGTGATGTGTATTAAACTCTATTGTATGACAAGTGGAACCATATATTTATAACTCTGTTACACATTTTAGCATTACGCTGGAGCCAATCGCATCAAAACCACGCAGCACCAGAAGTCGCATTAATGGTCAGAAGTATTTTGTGCATTGGATCGTATAACAACCTTTTTAATTTTTAATACTTCAGATTAGACTCTAAAAGCATTGGTCTTGTTCGTATTCAGAGCCAAAAAAAAATTGTATATAAATATTAATATATATTGTAATAAATATTAACAACTGGTGTCATCAAGTGGGAATGACAAATAGAGATGGGTATCATCAGCATATCAGTGATAAGGGAAGCCATGTGAGCGGATGATTTGGCCCAGCTAGGTGGTATACATGGCAAAGAGGAAGGGCCCCAGCACTGAGCCTTGGGGAACCCCTGTGACAAGGTGGTATGATGCAGATGTGTTCCCTAGCAAGGAAGTTGTTGTTCCTTGTTTGTTGACCGGCCTTTTAATGATCTTAGAAAGAAGTCTAATAGACTACTAAAAATTGTCGTGTTTATCGATCAGTACATTATTTGTATAATTATCCAGAATACATGATAACAATAATAGCAGTTGGTCTAATCACGTTTTCTGAGAAATTACAAACCTAGAAGATACCGAGATTCTAGTTTTAACTATCCATCCATCCATCCATCCATCTATTTTCATCCTCTTATCTGTTACCAGGTCGCGGGGGCAGCAGTCTCCACCCAAATAACATTGGACCGTACCAACCCCCCTGAACCTTCCTGCAGGTGGTGAGTCCACTGGAAGGTACCAACCGCACTAACTGGGATTCGAACTTGCCCAGGAGGTGAATCCTGGGGTTCCACACCAATGACAGAGACATTGCCTCTGGGCCACTAGTTTTAACTAGCCAGAACAAAAAAATAAATATAATAAACAATATACACGTACGTCACTTAAAACAGAAAGTCAGTCGTGAAATGTCGACGACATACAGTTATAATATCTATAGTGCAATAAATACAGAATCTTGTCCAGTGGGACCACATGTGCTAATGGCTTCCAGAAAAGACCGGAGACACTGTCCAGCCTGGAGGATGGTGGGTGCACTGTGCTTTATTTCCTGCTCTTTAATTAGAACCAAATGAAAAGGAGACCCCCACTGCCCCCCCCACTCTCCCCAGTGAACTCTTAATTGACTTAATAGTTGGGCGGTAGCCTGCCCGGACGGAGCTGCAGGGAAATACTCATTAGTCCTCTATTCACCGATTGCTGAGCAGCCAAAAGTGCCTGTTAAAAGACTTACAAAAAGCAAATTATGGATCGGATTGCCGTGTTCTTTACCCACATTTTGATGATTACTACGATTTATGGTCTGGGTTAATCCCAATGCCACAATCCTGAGTCAACTCCAGTCTAGATAAAAAGAAACCTATTATGATTAGTTAATAGATTATTTAAGCGTCAAGGGCATTTTAATTCTGCTTCGGTTAACCTTTATGCAGATGACACATTATTCTACATATCAACAGTAAATGGAAATAATAAATCCAAGGAAGCTTATTTTATTTCCATCAACATTTTTTTTTCAGATTCAATTTGTACATCCATACTAAAATATGGATTCACGGGGAAATAATCTGGTCTATTCCAACAGTGTAAAAAAACGGGCACATCAGAGGATTGAGGTGATGAGACACTCGACCATAACTATGACAATGAGTGTGAATGGTCCCTGTAGTAGACCCTGTGATAGACGAGGTGAATCATCCAGGGTGTAACCCGCCCTCGCCCATTGACAGCTGGGATTGGGAACAACTCCCCCACAGTCACTGAAAGGATTAAGCGTTGTAATGATAATGGCTGAATTTGATGGAATTTCTCTGTGAGTGGCCGGACATAAAGTGTAGCAACAAACATCACTCATCTCAAAGCGTTGACACCTTGTTGTCTCAGGGTCTGATGACCATCTTTAGCCAGAGTGAATCACTAACATGTCGGTGGTTGGTATGAAAAGAAAACTATTGTGTTTCTGTCCAGAGTGAAGACTCAACCAAGTGTCGTTCCTTTCTGCGCAGGAGTGGGTCCCAAACTTTCCCTGCTGGCTCCCCCTTTGGTTCATAATAACATTTTTTCACACCTCCCCACCCAGAAAATCACACCGATGCTTCATCGATTCATTCTCTGCTTTGCGTTTACGTGGGAGTTCCGTCAAAATGTATCCATTTTATGCTAGCATTGCCAACTTTGGTAATTTGGCAAGAGTGAGAAGAAGTTTTTTGCCGGTCTCTTGTTAAACATTTACAGCATTGGACAATGTGCTGCGTTACGTTTCATTCACTCATTCCATCCGCACCGCCCCAGGGGTGCGCCCCCCCATTTTGGGAACCGCAGCCGTGCAGAAGTTAAACTACCACAGTGTAAAAAGTTCAACTCTGTAATCCAGTTCTCAATAGGATCCAGGTCTGGACTCTGGAGTGTGTTAGTCAGTCTTTGTGTGTGCTGTGCATCATTACTGAGTGCTAATCTGTTCTTGTTTCAGTTACTTATGTCATTTATTGGATCAGGGGACACTCTGTTATACGTACAGTGACTATTTTAAAAGCTGAGGCCACACAGTAGAGCAGTGGTAAGTCAACTCGACAAACTAAAGGTGATAATAATAAGGCTACTGACTAACAAAAAAATGTATTGCTGCTGTCACCATGAGGATTTTGTACAACTTTAAACATACTTTTTTCTATAACTTATTACTTTCTTGTTATAATCCACCATCATTTTGTCATTGGTTAACACATTTTCTCATGTCCACATTGTCCTGTTGTTGTACAATGACCTTTAAAGCTTTCTATTCTATTTTGTCTGTATGTATTTTTAGTCTGAGAGACACTATTTTTACTGCAGTTTCACACATTTTTACATATATTTTATCATTATATTCCATAGTTTAACATTATTATAACTATTTTTGTTTTCAATTCAACACATTTTTTCCACAGTTAGTACAATTTTATTCCCTAGTTAGAGATCTTTTTTGACCATAGGTTGACACAATTATTTTCTCCACTTACCATAAATAACTTTTTTATGGTTTAACCCAGGTGTGAGCAAGTTTTTTGACTCACGGCCACGATTGTCCTAAAATTGAACAGGGGGGCCAGGGGTCAGGAGCAGATAGAACTAGATAAATGCAGATAGATGGAGCGTTCGGGTGAACTTAGATAAATGTAAATGTAAATGTAAAAGTCATGCATAATGGCTAAAATGCTTTTATCATTTTTACACCATCTATTGGGGAAACGCAAATATTGCAGGGAAAGGGCAGAAGCATAATGATAATATAAAATAAATTATATCATTTGGAAAAGTTTGGCGGGCCGGATTAAAAAGCTGAACCCATGTCTGGTTTAACCATTAACCATTTTTCTATAACCGAACTCAATTTCTTACGGTTTGGAATACGTTTATCACAATTCTCTATTGTTTATAATCCATTTCAACACTATTTTCTAGACATTGTTTTTTTTACATGGTTCAACACGTGAATTTAGGAAATTCAAATTCAAACTTTAAATGTAACCTTCTGTGTTAAATCTTTGTGGGGGATAAATATGTAGAGATTCGTGAAATTGTCGCCAAGTTCAGAAACAGTTATATCTTTCTGCTACGGTTTATTTGCTTTTATTTACGTTGGGGTGTGTGTACTGTAGTACTGTTGTTAGTGTCAACACACACACTTTTACTTGCAATGTGTTTCAATTGGGCCTGGCTGTATGTTAATTTACGTCGTTTGTTACATCTGAGGGAAGTGAATTGAGAGTGACCATTTGAAACAGAGAAGTATAGTTGGTCCAGACCTTAAAGATACAGTGGGTAACATACAGCAACACCTAGTGGTGGCTAAGTAACCCTGTCCTATTCATTCTGTGTGATATAACAGACGATAGAAGATATTGTACAAATATCTTACCCTAAAACACCACTAATATATATAT